GATTGGCACAGAATCGGCATCATTATACAGTAACACAGAGATAAAATGCCCAGTGATTTTATCTGCAACATTCATGAAATAAATAAATCTGTTAAAAAAAAACAACAAGACTTTAACCTGGAATCAGTGGGGATTAAAATGAGCTGTAAAGAAAAGAATATTCTTTAATGTTCAATGAAACTGAACATTAAAGAATAATTAGTTTGATTGTACATACTGTATTATAAGTGCTGTGTAAACTTCCCACTATAGGCTAAAAAAATATAACAATATAAAAGAAAACCTGCAGCAAAACCAGGTATAATATAACATGTAAATTCTATTGATTTATCTGTATAAATCATAATAATATCCAGAATCAGATATTTGATTGAGTCATTGTTTTCCACCAGCAGAGGCCTGAAGGAAAAACAATAAGCATGAATTCTTGAATATAGTTAACATGTTTATTGATGTTAATTCTAAACAAACATTGATTCAGAATGGAAAATCTTGAATATGAAAAGCTGAACATGTTAGGTTGGGGTTGTTTTCTGCTTTTTTTCTTTTTTTTTGTTCCGTTTCTGTCCTGGGTTTCTGGGAAGCTGCTACTTCCCCTCACAGCCACCAGATGCCGCCACTGAGTGGAGCCCCTGGAGAAGTGCGGTGGCCAACCTGTAGACACACCTGTGTCTAATTTGCGAGAGCTGCTGAGGGGCTTCATAAGGAGCCTAGCTGACACTCCAGTACCTGAGTGTCTGCCTCTACTGGTAAACGTTTCTGTTGTGAAAGCCTTCTACGTTTGAACCTGCTTTGATTGCTCCTTGTGTTTTCTCCGTCAGGTTTCCTCGTTGTCATCCTGAGACTCTTTGTGGTGGACGTTTGTTCCCGTCTGTGTTTCCTCACGACGCGACGGCTAATGAAGCCTCATGAAGCAATGAAGCTTTCCAACCCTTTGCTTTGCAAAAAGGTTCGTTCCTGACGTTTCATTCATTGCTCATTAGCGACATCTGCTGGTGAAACTAACAGCCTTGTCACTCAGTTGGATCATACTTCCAGAAACTACTAAATGTAATATTGTCACAAAGTTTTCATCAAACTCGTTTAGTAACAGGAGAATCAATGGAACCATATTTAATTGTCGTATGTTTTAATTATTAAAATGATTTGTAGCCATCCTAATCCTGGTTTATGCTGGTTCCTCCTTCCCAGATTCCAGGACTGTTCTCCCTGATCTCCACCTCCCCTTTCCCTTAAATAAATGTTTTTTTTCATATTTCCTCTCTTAGTGTGTTCTTGTCTGGGTAAACAGACTAGAACCCATCATGACAGAACAGAGAAATGCAGCCACTGACATTAAACGCATCCAATGTGGTTTTATTGACTTAAAACCAACTTTTTATTGCTGAAAGTTTACTTGTAAGTTAATTTTGTCTTATTTCACATATATTAATATATTGGCACTAGAAACAGACCAAAGACACTTGGTAAAATTTGGTGTTTTTTCCATTTAAATTCATCTTCAGAAACATGACAGTTTTCCAGCCCTGAGGAGAAACAGCAGAGGCATCACCAAGTTACTGGGCAAGTTGCAAAACCCGAAACTTGTTTCTATAAAACATGCATCACTCGAACTCAGCACAGACGTTTTGGTCAAAGCAGTGGAAGTAAGGAGACCAACGAACCAAAACCACTGCATGCCTGAAATGGCTGCTATGGTGTGGAAAGCCCTTCGCTTTGATTGGTCCAGCCGTTCCCTCTCTGCGTCGCCGTCCCCAGGACCCGGATGAGCCAGAGCGCAGAGAACGGAGGCGCTGCAGGAAGACGTCACTGTCAGGGTGACAACCAGCAGGCAGTACAGCGGGACGGTTCTGGTTCTGGTGGTTAACGCCTCGCTCAGACCGATCAGAATCAGACACAGCAGCCAGACAGAGGCGATGCTGATGTTTCTGATCCGAACCCCGCAGCTGCCCTTCGCCCTCAGGTAAACCACCGGGTGGACAGCGGCGACGTAGCGCTCTGCACAGGTCAGCATGTGGATCAGCATCTCTCCGTAAAACGTAAAAGAAGCCGCCCAGAACCCTACGGTTTTCATTTCCGAGACGCTCAAGTGTTCTGCACAAATACGACAGAAGAACCCAAACACCCAGAGCAGCTCCATGACAGCCAGGTGGAAGGTGAGGACGTCGGCGTGGGCCGCGGTTCGAGAGGCGCGCTGCTGGCGCCGCTTCTGCAGGCCCAGGACCAGGATGGAGGAGGAGAGAGGCAGGAGGAGGACGGCCCTGATGGACCTCACCGCGATGCTGAGGCTGAAACAGCGGCGCAGCAGCTGATCACCGGAGGTGGCGTTCACCGACATGTTGAAGAGCCAACCTGAACACAAAGACCGGAAAGAGCAGCGAGCTGCCAACTCACTTCATTCACTGAGTCCTTATAAAACCTCATCAGCTTTAAATACATTATAATATTAGTAAATAATAACCATAACTGAGACATGCAGATATTATGCACTGTGTCCATATAATGTTTGTCTATTCTGAACCCCTTAAGTTTGCTAACCATGTCGCTGGTTCCTCACTTATTCTAGTATCACTGATGTAAAATGTCAAATCTGCTGTGTAAAATGAAATTAGAAGAAAATAAAATAAGACTCACCAGTTTCTTTGTTTCAGAATCAACTCAGCTAAAGGTGAACAAACTATTCTGTAACTTTGACAGGATTCAAATCACCTGTAATGATTCAGAGGGAGGCTGGAAACTGGAATGCAAACTGCATGCAAAATTTAATTGATGTGTTTTATAATTTCTGTGCTTATGACAACAGAGGCCAGAAAATGTCATGGAAAATTTTAAAAATAATCTCTGGATTGATTTCTTTATTATACAACATTCAACAAATCATCTGAGAAACTTACATTAAGACTGAAAGAACCTCTACTTAAGAATATGTTTTATAAAAGCATTAAAATGGGATTGGAAACAATGTCATAATCAAAATGATAATTTTTTTGCTATGGTTATTTATTTATTAATTTTTGTTAATTTACTTTGTTCTTTTGGTTTTTTGTTTCATCCCAATTTTGAAGCACATATGCGAATTTAAACCAGTTTAATTTTTATTAAGCTCTTTTGCCTTTACACGTTCAGAGAAACATTAGGTTTCACCCTGTTGTTGCAATATTACAAAAACATGCTGTAAAAATCTTAAATAAACAAAAACCTGTTATCATTTTCATTAATCCAGCATTGACGTAGTTTCTGTGCTAAAAGCCTGTGTTGAGAACTGATTGTTCCCTCCACTGTTGGGAGAAAGAACAGGATGACCTGTGTGTAGATAGAGCTGCCATCTGTCTGCTGTTTGTCTTTCCTGACTCTTGTTTTCCTAAATAAACGGCTCTAGCAGAGAGAGGGCAGAACGCTGTGAACAGCTCGGAGGAGCAGTCTGCTGAAGCTTTTGCAAAAGTTCGGCCATAAAATTCATACACGTTGTCTGTGGTTCTTTGATGTAGGCCTGGAAATTACCTATCACTTACTTTTTTCTGCTTTTAGTTTCAGGATGATCATCCAGCTGACGCCCAGCAGGGATGTGGAGCATGAGAGGAGGATGCTCCCCCTCATGCCCAGACATGGCCACGTTCAGCATGAGTGCTGCTTGGTTGGCCTGCAGTGCTCATGACTCTAACTTCACTAAATAATGTTTCTTCTCTGAGACGGGAGACTTTTAATTCAAGTTGTTTGTGGATTCAGAAACTGATTGGTCTCCTGCTTGCACTGTGGTGTGGCTGTAACTTCGCCTCCCCTGTTGCTCATAGCAACATAAAACGGGTGTTTATTGCATCCATATAGCAGCTGATGCTCCTCCTGCTGCTGTTGGGCCAGAAGGATCTCTGGTTGGGATGGAGTCGTCCAGCTCTGGTCGGTGAAAATGGTTTCTCCCTCTACTTGCTGCCTTTGGCCTAAACCAACTATTAAACTGTCGTTTTCAGACAGAAAGCTGCTGCAGCTTGGTGGAGGCCCTGCTGCTTTGTTTCCCCAGTTTTGTGCTTTTATTTTTCTTTTTTGCCACGTTTGTTTGCTTTGGGTTATTTTCAGTTTGGCCTGTGTGACCTCTGACCTTGCTTTGCTTTTCAGATCATTAACTAAAGTTTTGGTTTTTAACGGAGGTGCATGTCTGAGGTTGGGATGACCTCAGTTTAGTCCTTGTCCATGTCTAAATAGCTGCAGTTCTCTTTCTGTAGTTACTTTTATGACCCCACTGTTATTTCTTGTGTCCAGGCTGAGAGCTGAAGGTGGTGGAGGGCCTCCAGGGGGCGCTGGTGTTCATCTCTAATTGTGTAAATTTCTATGTGCTTAGAGTGCAGCTATGCATGAAGACCTGCAGGAATTAAACAGTATTAAAAACTATTTTCATGCCATTTGGACTGAGACACATGAGCACGTCTAAAAAAAAAATCAATAAATGCAAAACAATGACAGATTTTGTCAAACATTTATGCTTGCCATTAAAATATTTATTTGGCAACTACACTAAACTTACCAATTAATTATTTAGCTCAAAACAAAAATATTTAGCTTCCTCCGATTTCAGAAAAGGTTTGAATGTCCATTTAATATTTCTAAGGTTTAAATTATTAGAAAATGTGTTCAAAACTGAATTTACCAGAATACATCCAACATATCCATGTTTTCTACATGACCTGTTTGATGAGGGTTTCGGTTTCTTTAATAAGTTTAACAGCTTTTAAAACTAAATATGTTTTAGTGAAAATGCATTTTTTCTTCAGTAACCAGAAAAACATGAGCATCAATCTGATCAGACGTTTATTTTCTAGTTGTGACAGTGGATACTGATAACATGTGTTTTATTAATTCAGAAACAAGATATGCTGCATAATAACTTTAATCCCCTAATAATCCACTGCTGCATGGAAAATGCTTCATCTTCATACAAGATTATTATTTTAATCTTACAATTATACATTTTAAACTTTCAGCTAAGAATAAAATGACAAAATCACCACTCTAGAAACATTTATCATTTAATAACAGCATAATGAAATATTCTCGGTTGGATAGAAATGAGTTCAAATTGTTAATACTATTTGAACAGTGAATATTGAATTCATGATGATCCAAACCTCCTTGGTTTAATTTGATTCAACATTTCAGTGAAAAACATGACGGTGGATTTAATGACATATTTTAGCAGCACTAACATCTTTTTACTTTTTTCCAGATGTTATTACAACATTTATGTAGCACAAATTTAAACGTTTGAAAACCAAATTGTAATTTCTGAGAAGTTTTGCATAGAATATCATTTAGATTTTAATTTCAACAGTGAAAGGAAATCTTTTTATTTTTGTTAATGTTTTTAAGATCATTATTTTGTATAGCTTTATGTAAGCCTATAAAAGGTGTTTAAACTAATATGTAAAATTAACAGTGACACTTTTTAACTGCAATAGAGGAACCATTTGTGGCAACCAGAAGTTTTACCTGTTTTTTAAATATTTTCTTTAAAATTCTCACATTCCAGATTTTGACTGCTTTTAATTATTGAACTTTTTATTTCCTTTGTATCTTTATTAAAAGTGTGATTATTTTTTAAGTTATTATGATATTATGTCATTATTTTTGTGTAGCTCTTTGGACTATAAAATCATATCTGACAGGAAATTTAATGAGAATTTCAGTTTGTTTTATTCAATCCCAGTTGTTTCTTTGATCCAGGCCTTGTATTCACACACATCCATGATTTTAGCTGGCATCTGACATGGATAGTTTTCTGCACATTCAACAATCACACCATAAATCCTGCCGTCAAACACGACTGCTGAGCCAGAGTCGCCCTGTAGAAAAACAATATATCAACATTTTAATTGATCTTGTAAAACGAAAAGTCTAATAATCACTGAGAGTTATTGAATAAACAAACTTACATGACATACATCCTTGTCCTTTGCTTCAGTGAGGAATATGTGCCCACATTTCTGGTCAAACTGAGAAACATCAGCAACTTTCATGTTGACACACTGAAGTTGTGTTGCAATATCAGCACTGGTTACTGTGGAGAAACATGAGAATCATAAACATGTTCTTCACTCCACCTTCTCTGTAGAGACAGAAACACAGAGTTTACTCTTCAATATGTCTCTCACATCGCTTATTACAGGGGCCGGTTGCCGTTGCTCCCTCTCCTATCAGCTGAACTGTCTGGCCTCTAAAACACAAGAAGAAAATGTAAAACACAAGATAACAAAGTAAAACAGATGGAGAACAATGAAAGAACAAAGTAAATCCATGAAGGAGTTCATCCTCTGACACAGGAGTGTCTCTGGTCCAACACTCCTGAGCTGAACAGGTTCTGGTTCTGCTGGTGGCCTGATTACCTGACCCAGGTGTGCTGAAGCAGAGGCAGCAGGCCTGGAGACAGAAACCCTGAATTCATGTCAGACTTACATCTGAAGGCGATCCTCGCAACTTGGTAGCAGAGCAGGTGGGACGTCTGTTACTGGCCTCCGAAGCTTCAGCAACATGATGTCATGCTGTCGGCCTTCTTCAGTATAAATCACAGGATCGTCTCGGATTAACCGATTCTCCTGTATAGCCCCCCGTGGATGAACTTTAAATATTGCTACGTTAGACCTGCAGAAAAGGTGAGACTGTAATGAACTCAATACACAGAAAACCTGATAATTTGCAGATAAAAATGTCTCAATATTTATTTTCTACCACAAATTCTCCGACGCCCAGCAGTGAGCTGCAGTCAGGACCCACTCAGGGTGGATCAGAGTTCCTCCACACAGAGTCAATGTGGGTCCCTTTCTGCTCAACAGCCGAACATAATAAAGATGCTCGTCCACAAGACAGTCATTACCTCCAATGATTCTCTTATGCAGAGAAACATCTGAGTTCACTGAAACGCCTGAAGGAGAAAAAGGAGGACTTTACTCACAAATCAAGAGCAAACATGGCTGCTGGAACAAGAAGGATAAAAAGCATCACAGTTTATATGCAAAGAAGTTTCAGTCTGGAACAGAATCAGAGAGAAGTTTAAGAGTCACAGAGAGCAGCAGCCTCTCTGGAACCAGTGGAAGTGTCTCCAGTGTGTCCAGTGTCTCCAGTGTCTCCAGTGTGTCCAG